CATTGCCTACTGATAACTTGTTGATTATGAACTATAAGCGTTTTCGTAATTTGTAGCCTATAAAAACCCTCCTGTTTTTGGTGATAGCGTTATTATTCAAACAGTAAGTTTTCTTCTAGTGATCACTTGGGGATATACACTAGTTCGGAGGTTATGGCGAGTTGTTTCCCCTAGAAGTCAGCTTGCCTGACATGTTCTTTCGCGTAGACGACAAAAGAATCGCGCCAAACGACATACACCGATTCGGCCCTGTTCACGGGCTATCCACAGCCTTGGGACTCTCATTGGGGAGAGGAAGCCCTATTTACTTGTTGCCCCGCCGGCAAATTGGCTCGCGGCTACCAAAGTTACCGCAAGGATGTTTGGTTATGGGCCAAACATTCAGTCTCTTACAGGATTCAAATTCGTACCTATGCATTCCTGGCACCGTGGCTATCCAGTGAACTACCGAAACCCCACCCTCTCAGCGACTTCTTGACTATTTTTTCCCGCTACCTATCCGTTGTAAGGAAATAGTAATATCTGCAAATTGGAATTTTTTCACGAGAAACAGGAGCTCAACCAGGAGAGTGATGCATTGCTTCACCTGCACCATTGTGTTGCGTGTAAGCATCAAAAATCGAATTTTTTCTCTGCAGTAGTCAGCTGAGCGCGTCAAGTACGATCCACAGTATGCGCAGAATTGATGAAACATGAGAAGAGGTTAGCAAGAGAAGGTAGATGCACTGCAGACACTGAAAGAGTGAAGATTCCTTCGAAGCTACGAGAGAGAAAACAACTTGGCCCTGGAAATCCATCAATAAAAGCAGTCTGAAGAGAAACTGACACTATCCCGATAGGATTACGGAAAATTGACGACAAAACACGATTTGAGTGCTTAAGAACCAGATCAGCAACGGTATATGGGCGAAATGGGTCCGACTGTCGTAGTCCTCTAATGGGGGGACAATCGAGATTTGGTTGGCTGGTTGGGAGAAGACGCGACTAGTTGCAGAAGACGAACTGTGCGAATGTATGACCCGCCTTATCCAGAGAAACCTAGTGTCTTAGGGGAGAGTTTCTCTCCGAATGAAAACCATACCATTAGCTGATTCCAAAGAAATTCTGGCGCTAATAGCCTTAGGGGTGGGCATATATGTGAGCGCTTGTCAGCATACCAAACCGTGTGAATATACAAGTCAGTGCAACTTTGTCAACAATCTATAAGCTTTGATGTCACCTGTCAAGCACCCTGCAAACTCTTGCCAAACTTGTAAGGGTGACTGGTCAAGGCTTGGAAAAAAATGAGGAACTTGCTTTTCAATGACACTAGCTCAATTTTACCAAGCTTCACAAGGAGTTTACAGAAGTTGCAGATTTGGGACGCGATTCTGAAAGACGAAAGCAAAATCAAATACAAAGGCATACAATGAAAAATCTCACAGGTGTGTCCCCCTCGAGGGTTATTAGGGCCGAATTTTCTCTTCCACGTCACAATGCGCACTTTATTCAACTGGTGGCTCGCTAACTTCTTCAAAAGAGTCTATATTGTATTATATTTGGCTGGAAGTATGGCTTAGCCTTTTTCAACCAAGGGACTATTATAGCACCCAACCATACTACAACATGCCAACCAGGACGCCCAGCGCCGCCCCCAAACGGCCACACAGTCACTTCCACGCTGGTACTCTTTGTGCTTCATCGATGAAGTACAATAAATATGAGACGCGGATGAGTACATACGTGCAGCCGGTGCACTTCGGCGACGGGGGGGGGGGCATTTTGCACTTTCGTTGCTTCACTAGTTCCGGTTTACAAGTCTCACTCTGGTGAAACCTGTGAACTCTTGTGAAGCTGGAGCAAGCTCGTCAAGCCATCATGGTAAAACCTGTCAACTCGAGAAGAGGCTGTCTAGATGGGTCGACACGTCGATGGGAAGTAGCAAAAGTGCAAAATGCCCCCCGTCGCCAAACTGCCCCATGCAGCCGTATCTATCAAAGCGGTTGCTGGCATGATGCCAACGGGAATGACGTGAGAAATATGGATGTGCTAGTAAATTCAAGTGACACATCAATATTGTCATAGAACAAAGCGCTAGTGTGATCGCGCTCGAGGCATCATCGTGAGCCGGTTAAATACGATCGTGCAAGATGAAGCTGGTTTATAAACCCTAAAAGCTGTCCATGTCTCTTCATATCCCTTCATATTCCGTCGACACTCCAACCGTTTCCGATCAGCGTTTCCCATAGCGTATAAACTCTTGTCGATGATCGTTCAGAGACCATAAACGTCACTGAATGCTACTACACACATATCCATTTGTGTGACCGAAGCAAAGTCATCACAAAAGCTATCTGTCCAGTTTATCGTCTATTTTTAGCCCAACAACCGGCCTTTGTTCTATGACGCAGCACTTGAAGACGGCTATATAGTGGAAGTGGTGTCTGGCGTCTGAGAAGATACTGTATCACCTAACTGGTCATTCAAATCATAGGGACCGAGCACAGTGCCCAGACATTCAGGGAATGTCATAGTACGAATTAAAGAATAGACATCACCTCCTGCACACGACGTTGGACTGACGTTTCCAGTCATCGTCCAGTCCTCCAGAAGTTTCATGAGCGCACGCTTGGGCTTCCGAGAGAACCATTGTGCTGGGTTTTCATAAATGGAGAAGTTGGAGGAATTCAATGTAATATAGATTTCCTGGCGTTTACTGTCCCAGGTGCTGATGTGATACCCCCAAACTATTCTAGTTGAACTAGGGTAAGGAGGGGTGTATAATATTGGGTTCTTAGAGTGGACTGTAAGCGACCATATTCTGCGCGACAAATCTGCCTTTATTGCCAACGACACGTGTTTGACGATTTACCTCTAAGATTTAAGGAGGGGTGTATAATATTGGGTTCTTAGAGTGGACTGTTAGCGAACATATTCTTGCGACAAATCTCCTTTATTGCCGCGGCGTGATTTGAACGATTAACCTAAGATTTAAATATGGTGAGCATCCAATATTGCACCGTTCATTACGTATCAGAACTAATGGAGTTCCTTGCAGAGCCCCTTAATCGCGAGACGCCGAGCTATATCCAAAATGTCCTTGGCCAAAACGGGGGTCGGGCAAAGGGGTGAGATATCAATTATAAACAATTGCATTAGGGTGTTCCATAATTCTGAAAGGCACGGTCGCGCTACCAGTATAGATTGTTAAAAATATGGCGTCGGGAGGGTAAGCCGTAACAATGTGTACTTCGTGGCAAAAAATTGTAAGGAGGGGTGCTATAGCGCGATAGGTGTTAGTGACGCCTTTTTTTTCGAGTCGCTCCGCTCCGCCTGTACTCGCGCCTTCCAGGACTCTCTTCGGTGGATAAACGAAGCTGTCAGGACGAAAAAAGCATGAGAATCATCACCTACATGGTCGTAGAGTTCTTTCCGAGGAATCAACTATCAACTAGAGGGTGTAATGTTGGAGTTGCCCGGGGCATCAACTATGCGGATGAGGGCGTAATGTTGGAGAGTTAATCGGTCACGTACAAATTGGATCGATGGGGTTTTATTCAGGGCAGTTTTCCATTTTTTTTTTCTGTTTTTTCCTTCATAGCAAGTTACTCAGAACCTTGTCGTCTATATGCAAACCCCTAATCCACTAGCAGTAATGGCGATGATCGCGGGCTTTTCCTAAAAATCTGTACACTCCCTCGGACAACTGGTCGTTCCCATGTGCCGAGTTCAAGGCGCCCGCCACGCAGCAGCAGCCTGGCGCTTTCTCCGTTGAACTCAGCACAGCTCTCAGCGGAAAGACGTACAGGAATTGAGGGCGATGTGTAGGCAAGAGCAAGTCCGGCTGGGGTTGGGTGTGTGGCTGGCCGTGCGGCAGTGCGTACGGAGCTTGGAGATGGCGTTCTGGAACGGCTACCCTCCAGCCCCGTTCCTAGTGCACTTTAAGCGGGAAAAGTGGCACGCTACTGCACCTGCGGGACCATTCGCGCCACACATAGCAAGGTGAGGAAGATAAGCGAACCTAGAGAGCGTGTTCAGAGTTAGATCCGACGCCCAAATCAATATGGTTCCTCACTTCAAGTTCCAGCGAGAATTCAGTTCAGTCCTAAAAGGGAAAGGTGCTACACGACGCCCAGGCAACCAACCTGACTTCGTCAGTCCTCAGGACCGGCCTGTAAGAGCCTCTGTTCAAATCCAACTGTTTGAGCCGTATGGTCCTTTTCGGAGAGCAAGATCAACTCTAAAAAAACTACTCAACCAAAACCCTCCAACAGAACCAACGGAAATTTTGGGACAAGATCCTAACGAGGTACCCCTGCGCCACGGTGGACCACCACCCACCAGTTTGTGGACCTGCTCTAGGGGGAAATTCCTATGATGGCAGCATTGATTCCTCGTTCTATTGTTTTACCGTTTTTCCCACAGCAATATCCTGCGCCTGCAATTTTGGCGCACCCTGTACTTGGCACTGAAATCTCCAACGGTTTCCGAAGAGACCAAAATACAACTTCCTGCGGTTGGCTAATAAAAAATAGCCCACAAAATCACTAAGCCTAAAACACGTAAGAGGTGTTTGCTTGAAAAATGACAGCTTCAAAAGAATACTTTCCCTTTCCCATCTCCTGTCATGCCTCTTCATACACCTACTACTGTAACTGAGGAAATGCTCGCGTAAAAATCCACTACAAAAAATAGAGTTGGCAAAAAAATGATATTTTATCATGCACAGACGTTGAAACGTACGCAAAGAAAAGTAAAACAAGATGAAAAACTGACAATCTGCGCATAGTACTGATAGTCTCATCGTTTCTACTCGTATATAAAACGGCAATGGTGAGGTGTCACATACAAGGTAGGGGTTCTCCTTATATACAAAGATAAAACCATTTCCTCCCACATCAATAAATCAGGATAAAATGAAAGGTTAGTACTGAATGAGTCATTGTTAATGAACGAAACTCGAAACAAGGATCCTAAGCATGATGGCCAAGGTGTGGATTAGGTAGAATCCAACAAGCGAGTTATAGTTTGCTCTTATTCAGCTTCTTCAGAACGCCCTCCAATTTCAAGGCTTTTGTCATGTCTCCTTTAATTTTCAGTTTCTTTGACATGAAAGCATTTGTTGGTGTGATCTTGCCAGTGAACATTGGGGCAAAATCTGCGGCAGCCAGTGTGAACCTGAATCATGTACATCGAATTTTGAAATCACTGAAATTTCTCTAATGATCAAAGACGCGGTCACGCTAATTATGTGGGAGGAGACAGTCAACCATTGCACCCCTCAGGGCACATCCTGCCACTGAGGTAAATTAGCGCAAAATGCGAAGCCACTTGAGATTTCCTCTTCTGCTACACCCCCCTTCTGCATCCAGTTCTACCTCACCTTCTGTTTTTCCAAACTCCCGTATCAGTTTGGTTTTTCGAAGAACCCTTGCCATTTTTCGGCCTAAAACTGCCGTCCGCGAATGCGGTGGAGGCAGCGAGGAGCTGCTGCAGGCTATGGATTTAGCGCACTTAAAGAGGACAAATCGCATAAGTCACTCTGAAAATTTTTAAGAAAGCTGCGGTGACGAGATAAGCAAATTCAACGACTAAATACATCTGTATAGTGATTCTTCGCTCTACGAAAAACCCCAATCGCACCTCAGTGAGGTGCTGTTTTGACGCGGCAGCAAGGCCTCGCTCCGCCCCAAACCACCTGCTCGCATGGACGGTTCTTCAATGCGGAAACAGCTAGGTTACGAACAATAGCAGCAGTCTTCATAGCGAAATTGACACTATTTGACAGCAAAGGCAATTCCTTGGTTTAACAAGGCTATGTAGCATTCGTAATTCTCGACTAGATTTCCGCCTGCTTTCTATAGCAGTTTCTTTTTCACTGCCGCTTCGTAACAACTAATTTTATATGCTTACCGCGATCGTCGAATGCGGAAGAAACAATTCGTAAATACTGAATTACCGAGTGTTGACGAGGCCACTGTGGCTCTGCTGCGATCCACAAGGAACGCACAATGCGCTCTGAGCGCTATAGAGACTTCCCGCTTCGGACGAGCCACGGTGATTGACCGTCGTGCGCTGCTGAATAACCAAGGGAAGACGCAGAGGGCAATTGGGGCCGGCGTCCCCGCACCTTCACTCCCTTAGCACTAATTTCGACAAGCACCCATACACTCCTCCACCACTTATATGATCGCGGATGGTTCCAAGGTACAAACGGATGTTTCAGCCAATACTATGAGAGTCTGAAACGACTCGCGCAGGGGAGTGTTTATTTTTCTAGCAAGACCCCTTCCTTTGATCTGCGACCTACAGACTCGTTTAGCGCCTCATGAACTATAGCATGGCCCTATTGGCTATGTGAGCTGATGTAGATGTACACATCAACATATTTTTTTCAATTAAAACCTCTGACTCGTTTGTCATCGCGAATTCGTTATTGCCGTTCATCTTCAGACATTACAATCTTCTTTCTTCATGCCTTTGAAAGTCCGTTGAACTTTTTTTTAGCCTCAATTGAACAGTCGACTAACCATGAGAGTTGACACTCAAAGAACAGTTGTGCTTGTCGACCACGTTCCTTGACTTATTTTGATGTTTTTTATTGCAATGTCGTCTGTCCACGCGCCTAAGATTTGTAACTATCATCGCTGAGACATCCACCATTGGAGGCCGGTGTCGGAGGAGTACATGAGCCCCAGCCGTACGATGAGCCGCCGGACTTCTTCTACCAATATTGGGCTTCCATAGTAAATAAACGAAAAAAGACTGTGGGGCGTTGCCTGTTCATCACCTAGCATCAGAAAGAATACATCTCACCATCTTGATGATCATCACGCCTGAGCCGCGCTTCGTAGCGCCCGTCACCGGAAGGGGGACGCTCAAATGCGCTTAGTTCGGCGCCAGCGCAGATTTAATATTCATGGTTCTTATGACAGGTTGAAATAACTTGTGGACAAATGTCCACGAAAATTTTTGAGTTGTTATGTCAACAGTGGAAGTGCAAATTTTTGTATTTTCCTAATAGCCCTTTTTGGATTCCATATCACTTTACCTTGCTACTGTAATTTTGACCTTCTTATCCTTCTATGGCTATACTACGTTATTGAGATAAAGTCCAAATAAGCTATATGGAAATCAAACCGATCATCGATATTACTTCTTCACTGTATAACTTCGTTGTCTTTCAGGTGGAGTAAACGATTTTCGTGAATTTTCGTATTCGGAATAGAGTCTGCTGTCAGAGTTGCATCCAAATACAGGTAATCTCCACAACAAGTAGATACGAAGTTGCAGCGATTATGCCAAAATATAATAGACTTATTTATATTAAAAATATGTGATCCTATCTATGTATTCTAGTAAGTATGTCTGATTGTGTGTTTGGTGTGTGTGCTCTGTATGTGTTTGTTGTACCTGTCATCCGGCAGTGATTAGGGCGTCGTCACGGGCCGCAGCTGTACGGAACATTTTCTTTTTCCATGGTTAATTTAGCGTGTTTCTTCACTTTTCACTGTTCTGGCTACTTTTTCCAGATTGCAGCTACTTCTCTTCACAAGTCCTGGAAAAGCAAATAGTTACTGCACGCGCTGCGCCCGTTTGCGAAGCCCTTCAACTCTCCGATGACGAGGTACGTCTTCTGGTTGCTCACGAATCTAGCCGGTCTCATATTCAGTGAGACATTGTTTAGGTTATGTAGCGATGTGCCAGGCGACCTATATTGGTCAGGTGACAGGAAGGGTATCAGTTGATAAGATCCGAAATGCGCCATGATGCGATAGGGTCACCGAATTCGTAATACAGTGCAGCAGCGTAGACCTTAGATCCGAGAGATGTATAAGTGTGGGATGAGAACATTATTGACCGTGGCAAAGTGTACAATGACTAAGATCATAAGGCGGAAGGTGAGTGGTACGAATTTCGAACGCAGCGGCTACAGCAAGCAGGCCTATGGTACCTGTATTAATGCAGAATTATTGCCAGACTGAGGGTGGGTGGGTTGGGAGGGTGCGGGTGTGTGGGCTCCCTATGGACGAAGGGAGGCGCGCGTGTTTGAGTTCAGTGGGGTAGTAACGCAAATGATGGCATGAGTAGGCCTTAACCAGTCCGGAAAGAGTCAGAGAGTTTTGACGAAGATGGACTCGTATGATTGGAAAAGGACCGCCTGTTCTCTGCCGAATGCTCAGGAGTTGTGGTTCGCTGCGAAGCACCTTTTCCACTAATTTAGAGCCAAGCGAATTAATTGTTAGAGACTACATGCTGCGTCGCGTTCGAACTATCCCTTGACGCCGGGCATCCGAGAACAGACTGTCGGTATAGCTGAACTTTAGTTGCTGGGACCAAACGAACCTCGGTTGGAGTTCCGACCTTGCTGGACCCATTTCTTCTCCTATGAATTTTTCTTATTCACCTATATGAAAACAGTCGAGCACTTGCTTGTCCTAAGAGAGGTGGGGCGAGGGAGGACTCGTTTTTCTTCGGTAGCCTGTAGTATTGTCAGGTAAGCAAGCTCCGGCTATTACACTGCTTTACAAGAATTTACAGTCTCAAAGGAGCTTCAGAGTCGATAAGACACAATGCGAACGTCTCCCCCCCCCCACTCCTCGAGGTCGACGAATAACTAATTACGGAATCAACGCATACTTGGTAAATCGCACTCCTTCGCTCGCAAACTTCTCATCAATGCAAAGTTCCGTGTATTCCGATATTCTTTCGACAGATCGCATTGGCAGAGCGTCCGGCTGATAGGGGCCTTAATTTGTCCACTATACTCAATTAAATGTTGCATTTTACAGCTGAAAACTGGGTATTGAAATGGGGTACGGTCCTGCGAGACTAAAGAACATCTTAATAACAACGACCAAGGTTCCACTAGCCAATTCGGAGCTTCCAGCTCTAGCTCAAACTATAAAACAAGCCGTGTTCAAAGGGCATAAATTTCAACAATGGACAATCCGTACCTCGCGCTTACCAGGAGAGTACGCTATTCATTACGTCATCAGGCCGCCTCTTACCCTCCCCGCTTTATACCAGAATTTAAGCCGAAAGTCAAAGACTTGTTTTAGAACATATATCTAGGAACAAGCCTTTTTCTTCTTTGAGAACGGCACTAGGAGAAATGGGCGCTATTTGGCTTGGGAAAGGTATTTTGCACTTTCGCTAGTTCATTTTGGTAGTCCATGTTATGTCGAAATCTGCAAATTCCTGTGAAGCTACGGAATGGTATGTGTGGCCACTCTCGTTACAGGTCTTCACGAAGTGGCCTCACTAGCTTCCCTCATTTCCTTTGGTGCCTATACCAAGCCAAAGCACCCTCAAAAACGTTTTTCCTGAGTCTGACGCTCCTTACAATGGGGTACATAATATAATGGGTGGCAGAGCGGAATTCCCCTGGTGAGCTCTTCATTTCAGAGAAATCCAGCCTTCACTTATAGTACATCAGAAAAGTTAGTAATCTTACCTTCCGTGAGCCAGCAGCACCAGCGCCATCACTGAGCATCTCCATAGCTGCAGTCCAAATAGCTGAAACACAAAGTTCGTGATTGTCAGCAAGACTTGCCTATCTATATCAATTGCATTGGAAGACAATACTTTCCCAAAATCAGAGATGAAGGTGTAAAAAGGCGAGGGGGAGGGGGAATAAACTGACTCTACTGATTTCGAAGCACCCGAAGCCTTTCAATTCCGACTTCCGCGCATATCACTGGTGCTCTCTCCTCCTGGCACAGTCCTTTCTCTAGTATATGTGTTTTTTTCATCCTCTTCCCCAGCTTTTCAGTGACTAGTGCTGTTACGTTTTGGCTCAGCTCGGCTTGGTGGGAAATTGCATGTCGCTCAGCTAAGGTTGCGGTCGTATACGCTGGTGTCAATTTGCCGTCCACCGCTCGGCAAGAGACTTGCGGGCGATGTTATAATACATTTTCCAAAAAGAACTAAAGTTTAGGGGACGTCTAGTGGATCATGCAGCGCTCCATTCTCACAGCACGCGACGCAGCCACAGAAAAAAAGCAAACTCGCGACAGCCTAGACAGTCGTGCGAACTTTTACGAGGTTTTTTCGAACGGTGCTTATCCCTTGGACATGGAAAGTGTCATGCAAGCCCTTTCCGAGCATTCTCCCACACCACGGTTCCAGGCCCCAGAAGTGAGTGGATCCTTGAGCGCAGCTAAGTTTGCTCCATTTCACCCAAGTTGAAAAGAGGGATCGTAACTCTTACCTGTCAGAGGCCACAATGCGTTGACAGCAATCCCGTACGACCGAAATTCTTCATGCATTCCGAGCACACACATTGACATACCGTACTTTGCCATCGTATAGGCAACATGGTTAGCAAACCATCTTGGCTCCATCAATAACGGTGGAGAAATGTTCAAGAATATGCGCATTTTTGCTCTGTTTAAGATAGGGTAGGCACGTCTTGGACCTGAAATTACCCAACACTGACCAGCGATTTCCAAGCTATTACCGTCAAACTCACATCAGGAACGTTCCCCTGGTGTTTATCGAATGCATAAGATCGTATCGCTTCATTTCGGTGTCTTCGGTGCCTGTGAGGACTAATGGCTGACGCATTGTTAACCAGTATATCGATACCTCCAAACTTCTTTACAGCCGATTCTACTGCAGTACGTACTGATGCCTCATCTCGTACATCAACTACACATGGTAACGCTTTTCCTCCTGCCTAAATGTGAATATTCAGAAAATAGCAGTCGTTTTTCGATGGAGACGTTAAGACGTGACACAGGGAGGGGAGGGTGGACCTGGGCTTTGTGGCTGTGGCGCCGGAGCACTGTCTTCCGAATGCGTTGGGCCACGCTCTCGCCAACCAGTGTGGAATAAGGCTGTCGCCGGCGCTAAAACCGGGAGCCCCCTGTGTGAGACGTAAAACATCTGAGATGCTATTCATGGCTTCGCGGGTAAACACAATGCCAATACAATATTTGCGAAAACAAGAGGAGGAGGGCATCTGATCAACTCAGTACCTTTTCAATTTCTTCCGCCAGCTGTATAGATAGTTCCTGGGAGTTTCGGATGAGCAGTTGCCGTCTTTGCAGCTATGACAATGTTGGCTCCATCCTAAATACTAAAATTATATTAGCACTAATTTCGCAAGGCCTGAGTCAAAAAACGTCGAGGCTCAGTCGAAGCGCTGCGCCCTCGGAAGTTTTCCATTTGTACTTAAAGGAGACACATGGTACGCTCAAACACATTAAGGGTGTATGAGACTAACAGCCCCCCAGCTGTCGATGTGTCGTGGTTTCCCCGCCCGAAACTGCACGGGGTTCCTAGTACGGGACCGTGGGAAAGGCTTATTCCTTGCTACACCGCCCAAAATGCACCGCGCGCAAGTTGCATTTCGCCGCGCGCAAGTTGCATTTCGGGCGGCGTAGCAAGGAATAAGCCTTTCCCACGGTCCCGTACTCGGACCCCCGTGCAGTTTCAGGCGGGGAAACCACGACACATCGACAGCTGGGGGGCTGTTAGTCTCATACACCCTCAATGTGTTTGAGCGTACCATGTGTCTTTAAATCCACACCCCACATTCCGGAGATGGAATGGGCGTGGCTTCGTACTTCGGCTTTCGCACAAGACAGGATGACAGCTGTCTCAATTGTAAATGTTCCACCGGGAATATTTTCGAAAGAAGAACACAATCAGCCCCTCCCTATCGTCGAGCTATGGAGTGCAAAGTAAAGCCAGTATTGGATAGGCATCATCAAAAGCAGAAGACTTTTTTGAGTTAATTCACTGCAAGGAAGTGAACGTTACGGGTAACTCTCTCCTTCCAGTGATCTACAGGGGCCCAAGTGAAGTAATCAGATGGGCGCATGTTTCTTGCAAACCGCCTCAGGTTATCAATGATGTCAAAGCTGCTGCACTCACCTGCGCTAATTTTAATGCGATCTCCTTGCCGATACCACGAGAGGCTCCAGTGATCACAACAGTACGACCGAAGAATTTCCTATAGTGAATAGTATTAGAGAGACGTTCAACAATGAGAAAAAAGCTGAAAATGGTGAAAATAAGCAAAACATATGCCCTTGACAGGGGGTCATGTGAACTCCATTCTAGGGTTTCGAACCCTAAACAACAGGTAAAATACGGAACAACAGCACAGCAGTGGACCACATTTGGGTGAATAGCATCCAGAGCAATGTCAGCCAAAGTCAAATTTCCCCTTACCCGCGTCCTGTAGCCGGTTTGTCGTTCATGGCGTCCAATTGAAGGGGCAGTAAGGGTCTCTCACGCGGTGTAACTGAACTGACGACAAAACACGAACTGATTAGCAACAACGTAGTCTCGTCATCACGGCACTGACTGATAAGAAAGCGTATAGGTTTGTGATACCACAAATGACTACGCTGGGCTACATAGCTGGAGATAGGACAACGGGAGAAGCTTCCTGTGAGGAAAATAGTAGGTGATGACATTTTGAAACCCCCGAGTTTAGGTATCAAAAGCTCCACAAGTTATTTTCGAAACCTTGGAATATATCATCAATCCCTGCTCCGACTCTCTCAAAATTCTCTTTCTTTTCTTATACTATTGAAAACATTTCATCTCGACGGGTTCCAGTTGTGAAGGTGACAAATGACAATGTCTTGACATACTTGGGCGATTCCTACACTGTCCCTCGGAACGAGTTCCACTTTTGCTCGCTGTGAGTTCTGGGGCGTGTAAGAGGGCGATAGGGGTGGGTTTGGCGCGTCGCTAGCCACTTTTGCACCAGTTGTAGTGGCTTGCAGACTTCCACAACTGGTGGAGAACCGTATGGCGTCGCGGTGAACGCAGCTCCTTCATGCGCCCCAGCATCCGCAACGAGCAAGACTGAGGATAGAGCACCGCCCATTTTCGCATCATACGCGTTCTCTCATCGAAACAAGGAGTCAGCACACTGAGGCCTCGCAAATTGCGATCGCTCTTGTGTGGTAGCTGGTTTCTTCAGATGGCTGCAAACATCGTGGAGCACGTCCCGAAAACTCCCGAAAGCACAGTAAAGCTCGAACCAACAACCTGCAGATTCCAAGTAATGACCGCGACAAGTGTTGACACCCACTTGGCAGGCTTTCTTGCCTTCGCTTGAATTCAGCTGCAAACTGAATCGTTTCCTCGATACGCTTCCAAGTCGTGATTCTTCGCACCGCCGCGCGCGGCACATCGCGCAATGATGCGCGGCATGTTACGGTAATTTTGACCGCTCTCAGATAAGCTAACCCTTCACCTATTCCAAGCACTAAAGAAATGCTCATCTCCGATGGCACATGAATAGCTTACTAGGGGAAGAAGTGATGCGCAGAGAAGAGTGCGCTCTTGAAGGAAGTGGCCAAAATGGTTGGAGGCTGGCGGTAGTCGCCGACATCATTGGTGGGAATGCTGAAGTTGGTGAGTTAGGCGAGGAGCGATGATAAGCCTGCGCCCTCATCTGCAAGCCCTTCCACCAATGATGCTGGCAACAACCGCCCGCCTCCAGCAACTGTGCCCGCTGGCCTTCCGCTAAACATTCGCTTGTCGCCCAGTATGGGTAGAAAGGAAGAAAAGGAAAAGTCAGCGAAAGTGGCTTAAGGTTTTTAACTCACACCACCCGCTGCATCTGACGCTCTCAGCTTTGGAAATCAAGAGTCCAGACACGCACGATGACAACGCACAGTGCGATCGCTCTGATTGTGAATAACTGCTGTTTTACGGCATGCAGTAGCGCGTTTCGCAAAAGTTTATCAATAGAATGCTGAGACACCCGCACCTGCACGCTTTCGGGCGAGTGCGGCTATCCGTTTACCGCCACCAGGGCCGAGCTTTTACCCTCTCAAAGCTTAAGCTGCTTATGCACGTACCGGCTTAGGCAGCCACTCAAACACGTTTAACTTTGGTGAGCCGGTTCAGCTCGTAATCGATGGGATAGGTCGGCATGAAACAGCGAGGTTAGAAAGCAAACCGAACGCTTACACAATCTTTTTGAAGCTGTTTTGTTATGATAACTGCTGTTTAACGCCGCAGTACGCGTTCCGAATGTTATCACAAGAATGCTGAGTTGAGTCACCAAGTTAAACGTGTGAGTGCTGTAAGGTTACGGCATAAGCCGTTAAGCTGAGAGGCTACTGACTGGATTTTCCAATACGGCTGGAAACATGGCGAAGCACGTAACCAATTCCATCATATTGAAGCTCGGGTATATGTACGCAACAGTAGCTCGTTTTCATACTAATATCACCCGGCATGGTTTCTTGCCTCCGTCTGAATTCAGTTGCAAACTAAACTGTTCGCTGAATTTGCCTCCCATGTCGTAACTTACCCCGCCGTCGCGCGCGGCACATCGCGCGATGATGCGACCATACGCTGCGAGTTACGAATGTCTTCACTGTCTCTCGAGAAGCTCAACCCTTCATAATTTCCCTCATTAAAAGAATTGCTCATCTCTGACTGCATATGAGTAGCTTATTAGCGTAAAGGGTGCGCGCTGCTACACGCAGTGGGCACGATGGTTTGAGCAGGCGGTTGTCGCCAACGTCGTGCAAGAGTTGAGTGGGGTATGTCCGAAAGCCCTCTCGCGCCCTTCCACCAGTGACGCTTGTAACAATCGCCCGCCTCCACTCCCATGTCACCCTTTTTCGGTACAAAACATACAAGAGTAAAAAAGCGAGAGTAAGATTGAAGAACAACTCACCCTGTGTTGAACATTCTGATGACGCCGATCCAAATAGAGTTGAAATGGGAGGTGAAGGAACACTGCCGAGACCCTGTACAAAAAATTAGATGGTATAAAATGCAACGCATTACGTGGAACAGACAACAAACAAATAAAACGAATGAATTCCAGAGACATCGTAAAAGGTTACAAACAATCATGAGTAAAGGATATAAAACTAGAAGACCATTTATTTCACTTTTTCACTCAAAAAATGAGCGCAAACATCAAACGCAAACATCTGCATAAAACAGCTGAAAATCTATAAAAATCAGAACAAAGAAGATGAAGTTGTAGCTCAACGTTGAATTTAAATAGACAAGAGTGATCTTAATAACAAGGCCTCGACAAACCAGCAGTTATAATTCTGAGAAAGAGGAAAAGAAGACTATAAAACGCGCTTGAAAGGCTCACAAATACGCAGTTGAAGAGCAGGCACAAAGTATTTAAAAAATTGAGCAATTAAGATCAATCGCATAAAACTACATGTTTTTAACATACGAAGTTATGACACATGCACGACAAACCATGTGTGTCACGTACTGACCGCGTGACACACATGGTGGGTCACACATTTGTTCTCTGCGCTGTTTCGTATGGTCTATTTGGCATCTACACTCGAAACCCCTGAGATGAGGTGGGCGTGGCTGCGTACTTCAACTGAACGTCGTAGTGGCTATGCTTTCGAGAGATATTTTCATTTTGACCCAAATGTGGTCACGTCACTGTCCAACAAAGAACAAGATGGCGGTTGTTTCAAATTGA